AGGGATTCATTTCTAAAATATATAGGAAACTACAACACCTCTAACAAGAAAAAGACAAATAACCCAATTAAAAAATGGGCACAGGACATGAACAGACACGTAATCAAGGAGGGGATAAGGGCAGCCAACAAACATAGGAAGAAATGTTCATAATCACTACCCATTAGAGAGATGCAAATCAAAACAACAATAAGATGCCATCTCACACCAGCAGTAACAGCAAAGATCAAAAAAGTTGTTGTATTATGCCGTGGAGTTGGTTCCGACTCATAGCAACCCTGTAAGGCTATAAATCTTTATGGGAGCAGAAAGCCTCATCTTTCTCCTGCAGAACAGCTGGTAGTTTTGAACTGCTGACCCTGAGGTTCGCAGCCCGATTCGTAACCACTATGCTACCAGAGCTCCTAAAAATATCAAAAAGTAGAGGACAATAAATGCTGGCGAGGATGTGGAGAGACTGGGACCCTCCCTGCACTGCTGGTGAGATTGCAAAATGGCCCAACCTCTATGGAAAGCAATATGGCGCTTCCTCAGAAGGCTGGAAATAGAAATAATTTATGATCCAGCAATTCCTCTACTTGGTATTATCCACAAGAAATACAAGCCATAACATAAGTAGGTATATGCACACCAATGTTCATAGCAGCAGTATTTACAATAGCAAAAAGATGGAAACAGCCTAAGTGTCTATCAACTGAAGAATGGATAAACAAACTGTGGTACATACACACAATGGAATATTATGCTACCTTGAAGAACAACAAGAGCTTGCTGTAAGCTACCACATAACATGGATGAAACTTAAGGACATAATGTTGAATTAAATCAGTCAGTCACAAAAGGAGAAACACTGCACAGGACCACTATTGTAAAAGACTAAGAAAAAGAACCCATATTAAACTGGGGGTGGGTGGGCAGAATTTTTTGCTGGTTACGGGATGAAGGGGTAGGGTGAGGGGAGGGAGAGGAAGGTGGAGCACAGGGTAGGGAACCGACACAGGATAGTTTGGGTGCTAGGGAGGGGGGCAATACACAAGAAAGGGGAAGGGAATGGAAGATCAAGGCTGATGGGAAAACAATTAGATAGGTTTGCATGTGCGTAGTAGGAACTCTGGTAGCGTAGCGGTTACAAATTGGGCTGTGAACCTCAGGGTCAGCAGTTCGAAAATACCAGCTGTTCCACGGGAGAAAGATGAGGTTTTCTGCTACCGTAAAGATTTACAGCCTCAGAAACCCTGTACAGGGTCGCTATGAGTCAGAACTGACTCCACAGCACATAACAACAACAACAACAGTGGGACAGAGGTAAACAATGATGTATGCACAACCTTGGAACAACAGGGCTCTGGGATACAGGGATTGTGATATCATTGGAATGGCCAAAAGGGGGAAATAATGTTAAGGTGCTTGGCTGTCTTTTGAATCTTGATTTCCCTTGCATACCATTATAAAATAGACACGAGAAGGGGAGAGGAAGAAATAGCCAGAAATATCACCACAGAAAGCTTATAAGTCCATTTTCTGCCTAAAACTGATTGGAATACCTAAAATGGAGATACAACATGCTTAGTGAAGGAGGCTCTCTGCGGAGACTTTGCACTGCATAAGACCATAGGTGAAATCCTGAACCCCATCCAGAATCTTCTGAAGTGGGAAATTCCCACTTGAAAGGACAAGCAGACAAATCTGGAGTGGCTAGAAGAATAGAAGATAATTCTTGAAAGAAAGACCAACAGGAAAAATACAAAACAATATAGGCAGTCCGACAGATTACTATAAGAACAAGCAAGTTGCTCGCCCAGGAGACATCAAGGCAAGTGGTCAGGTTCCCTTAGGGCAAACCCCCTGCCAAGACTAACTCAGTGGGAATACACAAGCAGACATGTGCTCGGATTGGTGACCACGTGGGTCACCTTTAAGGGGAAGTGAGGGAAAAACAGCAATGAAGCTACAAGCTAAGCCCTACCACATTCAATAGACTCCTGTGAACCCAAGTGGAGACCCAGTTGGCCAGAAGTATGGCAAGACCTGGGGACTCATGGGCCTAGAGTCAGTGACATAACCACAGAGGACTAGAGTGGAGAGTGAAGCGTCCAGCTGATAAGAGAGGACATATACATAAGACCATCCACACTTGCAGATAATACCTACTTGACCTGGCTTCAACAGCTGGATGAACAGAGCTCAACTAGAAGAGAGAAGAGGAAAAGAAGAGTAATCTGATACAATTTGATGAACTTGACCTACACCTATGGATGCAGTAGCTCAAAAGAGGGAACAAATCTTTACAGCGAGGATCATTCCCATCCCCTAAATACACAGAGTAGACAGGGATGGGCAACTTGGACATTTTGGCTACCCAAAATACGGGGTGTGTGGCGCTACAATGGCAAGAAATGACTGGTTTGCAAGCTTTCAAGAGGGAGCCTAGATCCAGAGGGCGCGAAGGAAGGTAGAATCTCCACTGAGTAGTATCCAGTCTGTCTGGGCAGGACTGATGAAAAGAGACGGGGATAGGTCTTTTGTGGCACAATAGTGAATAACTGCTATCAGGACTGACTGTGAGGGTTGGAAATGTAAAGGTAGACATTGTGTAGCAAAAGGAGAGCAGTGATTAACTTTGCAGTTTAGGAGCGGCGGTCCCTGGGACCATCAAGAGAGAAGAGAGGAGAGCTGGACCCTACCCAGAGAAGCAGTGATGCCAGAGATGGAGACAGAGAAGATGACGTGGAGAGATGGAGTGGCTGGGGACTCTAGAGCCAGAGAGGGAGAGGGGCTGTGTGCTGACGACCAGGGGGTAGGTATACCCTGTGGTTGGTTGATGATGCATGGAAGGGATTGTAACCATGGCAATGAAACGATATACGATCGAATGAATGTAAAGTTAATGTTCTCCCATGTAACTATTACATAATTCACAAGAAAACATTAAAAAAAAAAAAAAAATCTGTACAATCCTTTCTGAGATAGGATAATATCCATACAGCTACAAGGAAGACAAGTTAATTCCTCTATTATTCAAATTTACACACCAACCACTTAAGCTAGTGACGATGAAATTGAAGAATTCTACCACTTGTTCAGTCAGAATTTTATCAAAGAAGCAACCAAGATGTGTTGAAAATAACTGCGGTTTCAGTAACAAAAGTTAGAAACAAAGAGGAAGGATCAGTCGTCAGAAAACATGGCCTTGGTGATAGAAACGAAGCTGGAGATCACATGACAGATTTTTGCAACTAATGACTCAGTTTTCCTAACAATTATGTCATTCAAGGTTTTAAAAATCACTACACAATGACTCCCCCAAAGTTCTATCTCTAGCCTTCATCTGAGTTCTAGTCTGATATATCTACGATCTACTCAGTTCTCAACTGGCATATCATACTTGGTAATCCACAGTAGAACTCTTGTTTTTACCGTCCAAACTCGCTCCTCTATCTAGCTGCTTGAGCCCCAAACTTAGGGAGTCATTCTTGAACCCTCCCTTTTCTTTAAAATTAATTAAATATTTCCACCTATAAATCCTGCCAGTTCTACTTTCAAAATATATTGGAAAGTTAACTATTTCTTATCCCAGCTACTGTTACTATCCATCTGAATTACTTCTGATGCCCTATGGTTTATTCTCCACAAAGCAGCCAGCGATCTTTTTTAAAAGTCAATCAGATCCCATCACTCACTGGTCATAACCTTCCAAAGACTTAGCATCAGTTAGAATGAAGTGCATCATTACCATGGCCTACAAAGCCTTACATGTTCTGGTGATGCTTCCTCACCCACATCTTCTACCACTTCGTTACTTACTTCACTGGCCTTCTTGCTGACCTCAGATTACCATGCTTGCTCCATTCCATAGCTTTTGTAAGTCCTTTCCCTCTGCTTGGAATGCTCTCTGCCTAAGTATCTGCATCGGTTTGTTACCTTATTTAATTCATGCTCTTGTTCAAATGCCAGCTCAGAGAGCCCTTTCCTGACTCCCTATCTAAAATTATACTATCATTCTCTTCTATTTGCCTTTATTGATTTCAGAGCAAATAAGAATGACTGATTGTGAGGAAGGCACAGGACTAGAACGTGTATCATTTGTAGTACATGGAATCCCTATGAGTCAGAACTGATTCAGTGGCACTCCCCCACCTGAGAGTCCTGGTGGCACAATGATTAAGTGCCTGACTGCTAACTACAAAGTTGGCAGTTTGATCCTATCAGCTGCTCTGATGTGATGGTTTGCTTTCATAGATTTACAGCCTTAAAAACCCTACAGGGTAGTTCTACTCTGTCCTATAGGGTCACTATGAGTTGGAATCTACTTGACAGCTACGAGTTTTATACCACATAAAGTATATATTTGTTTTCTTGTTGATTGTGTATCTCACCTTGAAAATGTAAGTTTGAGGGCAGGCTTTGTATGCTCACTGTATTGCAATGATTAATATATAGAAGCTCTAGCCTCTCCTATTGTGATCAATCCCTCACCCTGCCACCAGAACCACCAGAGACATCAACCAGGGCTTTGTGAGACTCTAGATGAACCTGCTGGACTGAATTCACACAACAGAAAATAATGTTACAAAATGGAGGAGTTTCAAAAGAAACATATTTACAGAAATAATGTTACAGTAGTACAATTTTTCATCATACCAAGAGGTAGGAAGGAAAAGCAGCAAAATGTTTACTTATTGTTTTTTTTTTTTTTAATTCAGCCTAAAATCCCGCAGGTAAGAGCTCATACTGCAAATTATTATGTGTCTGTATCTGAAGGCTGTGTTAGGCCCCAGCCATCTCAGCCAATGGGGTCATTTAAAGGAACTGCAATTCTCAGAGAAACATGAGTGCTTCATTTGGAGTAAAATAAAATAGCAAAGTACACAGAAAAATATTTTGAGGACTAACGCCTGTCTTTTGACTCCAATCTCCAAATGTCTAGAAAATCAAAGACAGAGCACAAAAGTAGGCTATGCTATTCTAGAGCAGACAGGACATATAGTGAAAGCACTCACCTGGTTGTTTAATTTGCTGAGCATCATGTGCGCATTGACTACTTCCAAAATATGTGCCGTGAACTCATTCATATCTTCCAGGGGCATGATTTTAAAGGCTACTAGACTTTTTTTGTTCTATTTAAAAAAAAAAAAAAAAAAAATGAAAAAAAGGAAAGTGTATTCAAGTCCATTTCAGGTCAAAACTCTTTTCTGATTAATAAACAACACAAACACAGTTAATAATGGGAGATTAAATAACCACCCCAAGTGATACTGAAGGAAGAAGTTCAAGGTGCACTGAAGGCACTGGCAAAGAACCAGGCACTGGGAAATGAAGGAAAACAAATTGAAATCTTTCAACAAACTGATACAGCACTGGAGGCACTCACTCATCTATGCCAAGAAATTTGGAAGACAGCTACCCGGCTAACTGACTAGAAGAGATCCATACCTGTTCCCATTCTAAAGACAGGTGACCCAACGAAATGCAGAAATCATCAAACAAGATCATTAATATTGCATACAAGTAAAATTTTGCTAAAGATAATACAAAAACAGCTACAATAGTACCTTGACAAGAGAACTGCCAGAGGTTCAAGCCGGAATCACAAGAGGACATGGAAAAAGGGATATCTCTGCTAATGTGAGATAGATCTTAGCTGAAAGCAGAAAATACCAGAAAGATGTTTACCTGTGCTTTATTGACTACACAAAGGATTTCGATTGTGTGGATCATGACAAGCTATGGACAACACTGTGGAGAATGAATATTCCAGAACACTTAATTGTGCTCATGAAGAACCTGTACACAGACCAAGAGGCATTGTTCCAACAGAACAAGGGAATACCAAGTGGTTTAAGCTTATGAAAGGTGTACGTCAGGGTTATATTCGTTCACCATAATTATTCAAATTGTAAACAGAACAAATAATCCGGAAAGCTGGATTATATGACAGAAAATGTGCATCAAGTATTTCTATTAACACAACCTGTGATATACAGATGACACAACCTTGCTTGCTGAAAGTGAAGAGGACTTAAAATACTGATGAAGATCAAAGACCACAGTCTTCGTTACGGGTTATACCGCAATGTAAAGAAAATAAAAATCTTAACCACTTGACCAATAAATAACATCCATATAAATGGAGAAAGACTGAAGTTGTCAAAGACTTCATTTTGCTCAGATTAGCCATCAACATTCATGGAAGCAGAAGTCAAGAAATCAAATAACACACAGCTTTAGGCAAATCTGTTGCTGCACAAGACTTCTTTAAAGTGTTCAAAAGGAAAGATGTCAATTTGAGGACTAAGGTGCGCCTGACCCAATCCATGGTATTTTTAATAACCTCATACGCATGTGAAAGTTGGAAAGTGAATAAGGAAAACTGTAGAAGAATTGATGCATTTGAGTTATGGTGTAGGAGAACATTAAAAGTACCATGGACTGCCAAAAGAACAAACCAATCTGTGCTGGAAGAAGTACAGCCAGAGTGCTCCTTGGAAGCCAGGATGGCCAGATTTTGTCTTTCATTCTTCAGACACATTGTCAGGAAGGACCAGTCCCTGGAGAAGGACCTCTTGCATTAAAGTGGAGGGTAGGAGAAAAAGAGGAACACCACTAATGAGATAGATTAACATAATGGCAGCAGCAATGGGCTCACGGGTAGCAATGATTCTGAAGTTGGCACAGGACCAGGCAGTTTTTCATTCTGTTGTACACAGATCACTATGAGTTGGTATCGACTCAATGGCAACTACCAAACCACCACCCAAAAAGACTAGCTTAGAGATGTTTTAATGACCTGCTCAAGGTAACTCTCTGAAGTTTAGTCCCCAACTTCAAATTTCTTGTCTTTCTATACCTAATGAACACTAAAGTTGGAAATTAAGGCAAAGACCTTGCTTTTCCTCAACCATTCTATTACTGTTAACCTAAAAGTTAATGTCTTCCAAGACAATAAAGAAAAAAAAATCAATATCCTCTCATTAAACATGGAAACTACTTAACTGAATTCCGTAACACTGGCATTGACTCATACTGACAACACAACAAAACACTGCCTGAACCTGCGCCATCCTCACAATTCTTTATATTTGAGCCCATTGCTGTTGTCACGGTATCAACTCATCTCCTTGGAAGTCTTCTTCATTTTCGCTGACCCTCCATTTTACCAAGTATGATGTTCTTTTCCAGGAACTGTTCCGTCCTGATAACATGTTCGAAATATGGCTTCTAAGGAGCATTCTGGCTGTACTTCTTCCAATACATTGTTTGCTCTTCTGGCAATCCATGGTACTTTCAATAACCTTCTCCAAAACCATAACTCAAACACATCAATCTTCTATGCTCTTCCTTATTCACTGTTCAACTTACACATGAGGCTATTGAAAATACCATGGCTTGGGTCAGGTGAACCTTAGTCCTCAAACTGCTATCTTTGCACCTGAACACTATAAAAAGGTCTTATGCAGCAGATCTGCCTAATGCAATATATCATTTGTTCCCCCCCCCCCCCATCATTTGATTTCTTGACTGCTGCTTCCATGAGTGATGATTGTGGATCCAAGCAAAATGAAAATTACTGACAACTTCAATCTTTTCCCACTTATTATGTTTTTTCATTGGTCTTGTTGTGAGGATTTTTGTTTTCTTTACATTGAGATGCAAACCATATTGAAGGCTGCAGTCTTTGATCTTTATCAGCAAGTATTTTAAATCTTCTTCCCTTCCAAGCATATCACAGGTTGTTAATGAGTCCTCATCCAACCCTGATGCCATGTTTTTCTTCATATAATCCAGCTCCTTGGATTATGTGCTCAGCATACAGATTGAATAAGTATGGTGAAAGGATACAACCCTGGCACAAACCTTTCCTGACTTTAAACCATATTGTTGTTGTTAAATGCCATCAAATCAGTTCTGACTCATAGTGACCCCATATAGGGTTTCCAAGGAACATCTGGTGAGCTTAAACCACTGATATTGCAGTTCAAACCGACCTTGCAGTCCAGTGCATAAACTCAAGGCACCACAACAGGAGCACAATTTGTTATTGCTGTTAAGTGCCGTCAAGTTGGTTCTGACCCATAGCGACCCTGTATAGGGTTTCCGAGGAGCAGCTGGTGAGCTTGAACCGCCAATCTTGCAGTTCCAATGGCTTTGCAGTCTGATGCATTAACCCACAACACCACACCAGCACAATAGTGCCCCTTTATCCTGTTCTAAAGACTGCTTCTTGGCCTATGTAAGGGTTCCTTGTGACCACTATTAGTGTTCTGGAAACCCATTCTTCACAATGTTGACCAAAGCTTGTCATGATCCACAATCAAAGCCTTTGCAGAGACAATAAAGCACAAGTAAACATCTTTCTGGTATTCTCTGCTTTTAGCCAAGATCCATCTGACACCTAGTTCCATGTTCTCTTGTGACTCTTTCTTGAATTTCAGATAGCTCCCTGTTGATGTACTGTTATAACCATTTTTTAATTATCTTCAATAAAATTGTACTTATTAATGATGTTGTTCAATGATTTCTGCATTCTACTAGGTCATCTCTCTTTGGAATGGTTAAAAGAAATAATGGATTTCTTTTAATTGGTTGGCCTTCCAAATTTTCAAGAACAGATTTGATGCATTAGACACTAATGACTGAACACCAGAAGAATTGTGGGATGACAGAGAATATCATACAGGAAGAAAGCAAAAGGTCATTAATAAAGGAAAGAGAGAAAAAACAAAAATGGAGACTACGTAAGCACATCTAAAAGACCTAAACTGAGAAAGTGCTTGCTGCAAGTGTATTTTAACTATTACTTTATTCTGCACCATAATTTACCTGAAAAGACCTCAGGTGGCCAGCCACTTTCACGTATGTTTCTGGAGGAACCACAGTGTTTTCACCACTTGCATCCTAACAAATTAAATACAAATATATGTCACAAAGTTTTAAGTTACATTGAAAAAAGGCTCTTTACAATTTCTAAATAATGCACAGAGAGAGAAAGTAGCAGAACTAGTGGATATGTTGAGAAACAACAGCTTCACATTTTGGTATTTTTGTTTAATAATGGTTTTTATAGAAATAAATAAAACAGAAGAACTAAAACCTCTTATATGGCCTAACTAGTTTGCTCTGCCTTTTTGGAATTACTGTTTTGTAAAACCAAGAATTAGAATTTTAAAAAGTACCTCTAAAATTAATTTTCCATTTCAAAGTTTATTTTAAGCACCTCACATATACAAAAAAAACACAAAAATAAAAATTCCTGTAATGCTTTCTGGTGGACATAATTATGGCACAATTCTACTTTTAGGAATTTAGGCAAATAATTAAAAAAACATGCATTAAGATTTAACTGTAATACTCATCACAGCATAGTTTAAAATAGAAAAAAAATTTAAATAACCTAAGTATTTAGTAAGTACATTTATATAATGTGATATTTCATAACCATTAAAATATTACAAAATCCTACTTATTGTTAAATAGAGCAGCTAGACACACAAAATGTAAGTTGATTTCAACACTGTACATCAAGTATGATCAGATGTGGGAGTAAACGCATACCAAACGGGTAACAGGGATAATAATTAGTAATGATTTTAATACTTCTATAGAACATGTAAGGAGCTCTGGCAGCATAGTGGTTACGAATTGTGTTGCTAATCTCTCAAGGTCAGCAGTTCGAAACTACCAGCTGTTCTGTGGGTGAAAGATGAGGCTTTCTGCTCCTGTAAAGATATGCAGCCTCAGAAACCCAGTGCAGTGTCACTATGAGTCAGAACCAACTCCACAGTGCTTAACAACAACAACAATAAATACAACATGTACATACTATTTATAATAAAGAAAGTACTTTTAAAAGCCTTTTCTTTTAGACATTAGTCTGTATTTGCCTGGAGCAACAGAGGGAAAGTCAGGACCAAGAGGAAGAAATACAGTATGTGGCTAAAAGCTTTCATGAACTGCCTCCTTTGCCATGAGACCTGAACTGGATGGTGCATGGCTATCTTTACTGAATGGTGAGATTGCTTTAGCTTTTATTATTCTTAATAATGCTATGATTAACATTCTTATAGTTGAACCATACACATTTTAAGTTATTTCATTAAAGTATATCCCTAAGAGCAAAATGGTTAGGGCAATATCTTTATGACTGACAATTCTGATCCGTGTTGATTTTTGAGACAGGTTATACCATAAGAGTAGAATGGTACCCACTTCCCTAGACAATTAATAAGTCATTCAAAAATTTAGTATCTATTAAGTGCTAAGCTGCTCTCACCAGACTTAAGTCTGTTATTCATTTTTCCTGTGCCAATTTAAAGATTTAAAAACTGGTATCTTGATGTTTATTAAACCTGCTTTTGTTAACTAATAACAGCTTCAGATTCTTGTTGATGTTATTTGTACTTTGTCTTTTATGAATTATCTGTGCATCTTCTTTGCCCATTTTTCTAAGGCGCAGTTGTTTTATTGCTTTTGTTTTATTAATGAAAAAATTGCAATGTTACGCATATTTCCCCCCTTTACCTAAACAATATTAACTCAGGTTAATAGCACTGTTTTTGATGCTGGAAAAAAGTGGTGAACAAGACAAAAATCCTTGTTCTTGTGTAGCTTACATTCCAGTATCTCTTGTCACCTGCCTTCTTACTTTGCTTTTGGAGTTCTGGGATGTTCCAAAGGCTTTAATCTTCTATGCATTCAAATCTATTTGCCTTTAATTTAAGGATCCATCTATAATGTCCTGCTTATACATTATTTTTATAATAAGAAAACTATTTCAAATGTTAGACTAAAAAAATCAGTATCTCCTAAGTCCCAAAGTAACCCATCTGATTCAAAAATAACTGCTTACATCTGTATCAACCCACTGGCGAACATCCATGGGTGCAGCTGTCATGTCATCTATTTTGTAAACAATGTTGGTTGGTGCCTTTTCTGCATGTCTGATTATGCCCACAATAGTAACCTAGGTCAGAAGAAAACAAGTTTAGTTTTCCAGGAAATCACATATATATATATTTTAAACAGTCTTATTACATTCTTCATACGATGAAGTAACTCTTAGGAAAAACCTTTTACATACCTGTGAAATCTCAACACTGCCAATTTTGAACACTTCGTCAACCAGAGTGGCAGAAAGCAGCTGGGATATGGTACAGGGTACAATGTGCTGAGCTCGGGCTCTCTGGGGAAAAAAAAAGGATGTATAAATTCAATTGAGAAAATAACAATTACCATTCATTTAACATCAGCTATAGTGTAGCACTGCAGGTTAACACATTGGACTGTAAAGTCAGTGAGTCAAGCTCACCATTGGCTCATTGGAAACCCTATACAAGGTTGCTATGGGTCAGAATTGACTCAATGACTTAATAACAATAATGGTATGGCACTGTAGGCTAAGCACTGGACTGCCTGCTGATAGTTCAAACCCACTAGCCACTTACTGAAACCCTATACAGATTCACTGTGAGTTGGAACTGACTCAACAGTATACAACAACAAATATTTCCAGGTGAAATTAGAAACGCCAGGATTTATCTCTCACAATCTACTGTATTTTCCGTTTTCATCTTCCTAAGAAAAGTAAAATTAAAGAGTAAAAGTAAAAAAAAAGTATAATTAAAGAGGCTGTACACCAGATTTTGGATTTGCATAATATCAGGTGTATTGCACTAAACAAATCTGCTGCAAAAGACCTCCTTAAAGTGTTAAACAGCAAGGATATCACTTTGAGGGCTAAGGTGCATCTGACCACAGTCATGGCATTTTCAATCCCCTTGACTACTAACCGCCAAGTCAGTAGCTGAAATCCACCAGTTGCTATGTGGTAGGAAAATGAGGCTGTGAGCTCCCATAACGACTTAGCCTTGGAAACCCTATCTATAGTAGCCACAAGTCAGAATCGACTAGATGGCAGTGGGTTTGGTTGGTTTATGCATGTGGAAGCTAGACAAAGAATGAGAAAGCTGGAAAGAGAGCCGATGCCTTTGAAGTAAGATGCTCATATCAAGAATATTGAGTATATACCATGGACCACCAGAAGACAAACAACTCTGTCTTGGAAGACATATAGCCAGAACGCTCCCTAGAGGTGAGGATGGTAAGACTTCGTTTGACATACTTTGAAGATGTTATCAGGAAGCTCCAGTCCCTGGAGAAGGACTTCATGGTTGGTAAAGTAGAAGACCAGAGAGAAAGAGGAAGCCCCTCAATGAGATGGACTGACAGTGTTTGCAACAATGATTTTAGGTATTTACTACCTTTTCAAAGAAGCTTTGGTAGCACAGTGGGTTATGAGTTGGGCTGCTAACCGTAACGTCAGCAGCTTGAATCTACCAGCTGCTCTGCAGGAGAAAGACGAGGCTTTCTAGTCCCATAAAGATTTATGGCCTTGGAAACCCTATACAAGGTCTCTATGGGTTGGAACCGACTCAATAGCACACAACCACCACCACCATCACCACCAGCTTTGAAAGCTTGGGCAGTTCTTTCTTCTCTTGGAACCTCTGCTATACAATTGAGTAAATTATTTAACAGGAGTATAAAACATGTTGTTGTTGTTAAGAGCCATCAAGTTGGTTCTGATTCATAGCGACCCTGTATAGGGTTTCAGAGGAGCAGCTGGTGGGTTTGAATGGCCAACCTCACAGCTAGCAGTCCAGTGCTTATCCTAGAGAACCACAACAGGACCCCGTATAAAATAATATATATTGAAAAATAAAGAGCAATATCTAAGTATATGAGAACTACCAGTGTATATACAGAACATACAACCTGTTCCTACTGAATCATACAACCATATTTGAAATGATACCTAAAGAGAAGCCAAACTAGCCCTGCATTTATAGGATGGAATCAACAGCAATCTTGCTAAATGTAACCATTTTATAGATTGTTGCTGTTAAGTACTGTCGAGTCATTTCCGACCCACAGTTACTCTGTCTGTGTAGGGTTTCCAAGGAGTGGCTGGTGAGCTTGAACCATGGACCTTGTGGTTCAAACAACTTTGCAGTCCAGCGCAATAGCCCACAGCGCCACACCAGGACTCTATTTTATAGATTACTTTCCTATATATTACCTTTATTTATAAATTCTTGGAACCACCCTTTGATATAAGACGCTCTGGTAGCATAGTGGTTATGAGTCGTGCTGCTAACCTCAAGGTCAGCAGTTTGGAACTACCAGCTGTTCGGCGGCAGAAAAGGTGAGGCTTTCTGCTCTTGTAAAGATTTACAGCCTTGGAAACCCTAAACAGGGTCGCTAAGAGTCAGAACTGACTCCACGGCACATAACCACCACCACCACCCTCTGATATCAGAAATACTAGTACCATACACAATACAGATAAGAAAAATCAAAGGACATAGGTTCAAATTGCTTCACTAAGGTCCTGTATTGTTGTAATGTGTCATCAAAATTGATTTTGACTAATAGACACCCTGTATAAGGAGCTGTCTATTAGTGGTTACGAATCGGGCTGCGAACCTTAAGGTCAGCGGTTTGAAACTACCAGCCGCTCCGCGGGAGAAAGATGAGGCTTTCTACTCCCGTAAAGATTTACAACCTCGGAAACCCTATACAGGGTCGCTATGGGTCGGAACCGACTCGACGGCACTTAACAACTTAACAACAACAATAGGGTTTCTGAGAATGTAAATCTCTGATGGAGCAGAAAGCCTCATATTTTTCCCATGGAGCAGCTGTTGAATTCAAACCACCAATTCTTCGATTAACAGTTCAACACATAAACCACTACGTTGCTAAGTCCCTTGAGTTTGTTCCAACTCATAGCGACCCTATACAGCATTTCCAAGCAGGCAGCTGTTGAATTTGAACCTCTGACCTTGTTGTTCAAACAGACCTTGCAGCCCAGTGCTTTATCCCACAGCGCCACATCAGTATGCTACCCAGTAAAATGGCAAAGCTGATTCCACCTATGTCTTATGGCTCCAAAGCCCATGTTCTTTTAAATAACTGGGATCATTTATTGAAAGCAGCTATGGCACCGGATTGAGTACTTTTAAAAATACACAGGGTTTCAAAAAATTCATGGAAAAATGGCACTGAGAGATACTGGAATTTTTCCATTAAAGTTGTGAAGCCTTTTTGTATATATATTTTACACATAACATCATATTAAGTTTTAACGACCTTGTGAAGTATGTAGTGTCATTTAATAAGCAAAAAACTGACCCCTCAGGGTTAGAAATTTGTCCACTGATACACTGCATGTAAAACGTCAGAGCAAAACTAATATCTACTCGACTTCAAAGACCATGATCCCCACCCTTGCCCCGTTACATCCCCATCCTATATTTAACTTAAAAACTACTTTGAATACAATTTAGAGCGCAAAAGCCAAGTTCAGAGTTTTCCCACAAGGCAGATTCATTAGTGATTTGGTTAATTTTCAAACTAAAGCCAAAAGAAACAGTTTAAAGTCGGGTAAGATTTCCGTTTAAAAACTTAACAGCACTTAAAGTACAGAAAACAAGGGCAAACAATTTATAATCATCGAATCAGTTCATGTATAATACCTGCATAAATTTTCTCTCTTAGACGAGTTAGGAACTTTAAAACAAGATAAAATAAAACAAAATGCCCTTTCAACCTACTGATTTCTTTTCCGCCTGAGTTGGTGTGGGCGATCCAAAGCCACCAGGGGACTGTGTGTAGCCACCCGCGCCACCGTAGGAGGAGCTGTTATAGCTTTCAAATCCACCTGTTGTAAACAGCATGTTTCAGTGTCTGGGCCGCTTTCACCCAAGTCCTTCCAGACCTCACCTCCCCCAAAGACTCTCGCCGTCTCCCTAACCTTCCTCAACACCGTTCTGGGTCTCTCTATAGCCCCAAACACCTCCGCCTTCCACCCCTGCCCCCTACGCCTCTCCGACCCCAAGCGATTCTCATCCTCCTCCATATTTACTATTCCACATCATCGTCGCGACTCCCTCAGGAGAAAAGCCCAGTAGCTACGAGCTAGCAGGTCCACAGGGGACCTCAGGACCCTGCAGCTGCCGCAGAGCTACAGCTACTTTTCGCTGGCGCCACAAACTCCTTCCCGCGAGAGACAGAGCCAATCAGCTTCCAGGACGTTTCTCCTTCAGCCAATCAATCGCGAATCTCTACGCTTCTTCCTGTCCTCTCTAATCGTGCTCCTGAAAACGCGCGCTATGCTTCCTAGAGGGGCCGGAAGCTGCAAAACCGGCTAAGCAAGCGGAAGCAAAGAGCCGGGAGATGTTGATAGGGCAGTGTCTCAATAATGCAGCCAATCAAAAGAACACTTCCGCATCCCAGGCCGCGTAATCACACCCCCGCCCAATGAGTGACACCTTACGTCACTTCCATGGCTTTGGCGTGCTCCTGTTCCCGCCAAACTGTAACTAATCTGACGATGTCTTAACCTAAATCACCCTCCAAAATTAAAAACCAAATCCACCGACCTCTACTCGATTTTGACTCATAGCTTCCCTAAAGGACAGAGTAGAACTGCCCCGTAGAGTTTCGAAGGCTGTAAATCTTTGGTGGGTTAGAATCACCGATTTTTCAGTTAGAAGCCAGTCAGTCAAAGCACTACCTAAAGCGTTAACCTAAAGTGATGTAGTAACTTCTGCATCCCTGCCCCAAGACATTTGCCCAGCCCAGTAACTCACAGTACCAGGTTGGATTGTTTGTTCTTTTACCCTGTTTGTGATTAGGCATAATGAAGATATAAGAAACCTACACTTCTTCTGGAGTCCTGGTGTGTCGCTGTGGGTTAATGCATTGGGCTGCAAGTTCAGTTTGAACTGCATGTTCCTACGGTTCAAGCTCACCAGCTGTTCCTTGGAAACCCTATACAGGGTTACTATGAGCTGGAACCTTTGGTTGTCGAGTTGAGGACATTTAACAGCGCCCTTTTCTGAGAGCTCTGTGGCCCCATAGGATAAATCACTGGATTGCTACCATAATGTTGGCGGTTCAGTGGGAGAAAGATGAGATTTTCTGAGACCACAAAAATGTAAAGCCTCAGAAACCCTGTGTCACTATGAGTCAGAATCGACTGTACGCCATTGAACAAAAACATCTTCTTTTACTAGATAGAATTTCAAAAGATCTGAAGATAATGCCCACTGCCCTGCTTGCTCCCACCCAGTCTATATCAGGCTTGGCATCCATCTTATAAGACAACCAGGTTATGTTCAAGTATTCTTCATAAGATATAGTTATCTGTGGTCTTTACCACAGAGAATGGAACATGTCTGGTTTGTCCTAAGCACTATTAGATTGTTAGATTTATTTAAAAATGTTGATGCCTCTTGTTCCAGGTTCTATGCTGGACACTGTGGTTTAACAGTTAACATAGCCCTGTTGGCACAGTGAGCTAATTGTTAGGCAACAAACCAGAAAATCAGTGGTTCAAACACACCAGGTGCTCACTGGGATGAAAATAAGGCTGTTGTTAAGATTTACAGTCAGAAAAACCTTAAGGAGCAATTCTACTTTGTCATGTTGTTGTTGTTGTTAAGTGCCATCGAGTCGGTTCCGACCCATAGCGACCCTGTACAGGGTTTCCGAGGGTGTAAATTTTTACGGGAGTAGAAAGCCTCATCTTTCTCCCGCGGAGCGGCTGGTAGTTTCGAACCGCTGACCTTAAGGTTCGCAGCCCGATGGTAGTTTCGAACCGCTGACCTTAAGGTTCGCAGCCCGATTCGTAACAGGGTGACAATCAGTCAGAGGTACAAGAGCTGAACAGAAAATTTTCAAATGTCAGCTCGAGAAGATAAAGTCAAATATTCCAACAAAATGTACAAAGATCTGGAGTCAGAAAACCAAAAAGGAAGAATACTCTCAGCATTTCTTAAGTTGGGAGAACTGAAGAAAAAATCAAGCCTCGACTTTCATTACTGAAGGATTCTCTGGGAATTATTGAATGATTCAGAAAGCATCAAAAAAAGATGGAAGGAATACACAAAGTCAATGTACCAAAAGGACATGGTTGATATTCAACTGTTTCAAGAGGTAGCATATGATCAAAAGCCAATGATACTGAAGGAGGAAGCCAATGATACTGAAGCATTGAAGGAATTATCAAAGAACAAGGCACCAGGAATTGATGGAATAAAAATCGAAATCTTTCAAGAAAGTGATGCGGCACAGGAGGCACTCACTCATCTATACCAAGAAATTTGGAAGACAATGATCTGGCTTACTGATTGGAAGAGATCTGTATTTGTGCCCATTCCAAAGAGAGGTGACCCAACAGAATGCAGAAATAATCAGACAATATCTTTGATATCCCATGCGAGTAAAGTTTTACTAAAGGTAATACAGAAACAGCTCCAAGCATACATTGATAGAGAATTTCCAGAGGTTCAAGCCAGATTAAGAAGAGGCCGTGGAACAAGAGATATCATTGCTGATGTCCAATGGATCTTGGCTGAAAGCAGAGAATATCACAAAGATGTTTACCTGTGCTTTATTGACTACGCAAAGGCTTTTGATTGTGTGGATTATGACAAGCTATGGACAACATTGCGAAGTATGAGTATTCCGGAACACTTAAAATTGTGCTCATGAGGAATCTGTACCAGGACTAAGAGGCAGTTGTTCGAACAGAACATGGGAACACAGAATAGTTTAAAAGTAGGAAAGGTGTGCGACAGGGTTGTATTCTTTCACCACACTTATTCAACCTGTATGCTGAGCAAATAATCCAAGAAGCTGGGTTCTATGAAGAAAAACATGGCATCAGGATTGGGTGAATACTCATTAACAACCTGCGATGTGCAGATGACACAACCTTGCTTGCTGAAAGTGAAGAGGACTTAAAATATTTACTGATGAAGATCAAAGAGCACAGCCTTCTGTATGGATTGCATCTCAATGGAAAGAAAACAAAAGTCCTCACTACTATACTGACTCATAGTGACCCTATGCACAATAGAACGAAACACTGCCTGATCCTAGGCCATCCTCACAACTGTTGCCATGCTTGAGGCCACTGATACTGCCACTTTGCCAGTCTATCTCGATGGGGGTCTTCCTCTTTTTCTCTGACCCTCCACTTACTAAACATGATCGTCTTCTCCAAAGACTGGTTCCTCCTGACAATATGTCCGAAGTATGAGAGACGACATGTGGACATCTTGGCTTCCAAGCAGCATTCTGGCTGTACTTCTTCCAACAAAGAAGATTGGTTTGTTCTTTTGGCAATCCATGGTACTTTTAATATTCTCTGTCAACACCATAACTCAAATGCATCAATTCTTCTACGGTGTTTCTTATTCACTTTCCAACTTTCTTATACATATGAGTTTATTGAAAATACCATGGCTTGGGTCAGGTGTACCTTAGTCCTCAACCTGGTATCAACATTTGCTTTTCAACATTTTCAAGAGGTCTTGCGCAGTAGATTTGCCTAATGCAATACCTTATTTGATTTCTTGAATGCTGCTTCTATGAGCGTTGATGGTTGGTCTGAGCAAAATAATATCTTTGACAGTTTCAATCTTTTCTCCATTGATAAGAATGTTGTTTATTGGTCCAGTGGTGAGGATTTCTGTTTTGTTTACATTGAGGTACAACCCATAATGAAGGCTATGATCTTTGATTTTCTTCAGCAAGTATTTTAATAACTCTTCACTTTCAGCAAGCAAGATTGCATCATATGCATATTGTTGTTGTTGTTAGGTGCCATCAAGTCGGTACTGACTCATAGCGACCTTATGTACAGCAGAACGAAACAATGCACTATCCTGAGCCAACCTCACTACTGTTGCCATGCTTGAGTCCATCGATGCTGCCACTTGGCCAATCCATCTTGTTGGGGGTCTTCTTCTTTTTCTCTGGGGTCTTCCTCTTTTTCTCTGACCCTCCACCTTACCAAACATGATATCCTTCTCCAGTGACTGATCCTTCCTGACAATATGTCTGAAGTATGAGAGAAAAGTTTGGCCATCTTGGCCTCCAAGGAGCACTCTGGATGCACTTCTTCCAAAACAGATCTGTTGGTTCTTTTGGCAGTCCATGCCACTTTCAATGTTCTCCTCCAACACCATAACTCTAAAGCATCAATTCTTCTACGGTCTTCCTTATTCACTGTCCAGCTTTTGCATGCATATGAGGTTATTGAAAATACCATGGCTTGAGTCAGGCACACATTAGTCCTCAAGCTGATATCTTTGCTCTTCAACACTTTAAAAAGGTCATGTGCAGCAGATTTGCCTAATGCAGTATGTCATTTATTTCTTGACTGCTGCTTCCATTAGTGTTGATAGTTGATCCAAGAAGAATGAAGTCCTTGACAACTTCAATCTTTTCTCCATTAATAAGAATGTTGTTTATTGGTCCAGCGGGGAGGACTTTTATTTTCTTTACATTGAGATGTAATCCATACCAAAGGCTGTGCTCTTTGATCTTCATCAGTAAATGTTTTAAGTCCCCTTCACTTTCAGCAAGCAAGGTTGTATCATCTGCATATCACAGGTTGTTAACATAGCAGATTGTTAATAAGTCTTCCTCCAATCCTGATGCCACATTCTTCTTTATATAATCCAACTTCTCGATATATGTGCTCACCATACAGATTGAAATGAATACAACTCTGACCCACACCTTCCCTAATTTAAAACTATTTGGTGTTTCCTTTTTTTATTCAAACAACTGCCTCTTGGTCTATGTACAGGTTCCACATCAGAACAATTAAGTGTTCCGGAATACTTATTCTCTGCAATGTTGTTCATTGCTTGTCATGATCCACACAATTGAAAGCCTTTGTGTAGTCAATAAAGTACAGGTAAACATCTTTAGTGTATTCTCTGCTGTCAGCCAAGATCCATCTGACATCAGCAATGATATTCCTCATTCATGACCTCATCTGAATCTGGCTTTAACCTTGGGCAGTTCCCTGTCAAAGTACTATTGCAGCTATTTTTGAATTATTGTTAGGGAAGTT